GAGACCAGACTCGGCGAGCTCGGTGACGGCTGCTGCAAAGTGGCCCTCGCCGGCCATCCAGTCTGCGTACGAGACCTCGCGCGGGTACAGCGTCCTGCGGTTCCATTGGCTCGCCGTGGGAACTGTGTGGTGCTGCAGCACGGCCAGGTCCCGCGACGCGAACTCGGTGTGCAGAGCCCTCCGGAGCTGCCCTGATGTGAAGACGGAGGTGTTGATGCCATCGGCAACAAAGCGGGGGATGTTGTTGCGCCAGGTGATTTCCCAGTTGCCCTCGCTGTCTTGTCGGACAGACTCGATCGCAATGTCGACGGGAACCTCGCCGGTGGCAAAGTTCTTGTTGCCAGACGAGGGGCTGGTGCTTTGGGGACATCGGTCGCGCAGCCAGCCAGCAGGCACCTCGGTTGAAGGTAGATCCGGGCCTTCGATCGTCAGCAGGGTCGGGTCCGCCGCAGAAACACGGCAAACAACTGCAGCGGCTGGCTGTGCAGTGGCCGCTCTGCGTCGCTTCAACGATGCGGGCACCAGGGGAGGGCTTGACGTAGACGTGGCCGTTTTCGGGACAATGCCGGTGGCCTCGCCTTGCCGTAATCGCGAGCTCGTGTGGAACGACGTTGTAGGAGCAAGACATCTGACGCATCGAGCGGTCGGTGGTGTTCGAGTGATCAGGCCATCCATGTGCCGAGAGGCAGCTCCTTGGACGGCGCGCAGCGCTCGCGAACGTGCGTACATGGCGTGTTGGTCCGGGGCAAAGATCTAAACAAGACAGCCGAAATGGCAGACGCCGCGAAACAGAAGATGATTCGAAACTGGCAAAGGAAACCCCAACGGAGAAGCCCCAGCTCAACCGACAAGCCGAGGAACATGTGCCATGGAAGCCGGGAGAGCTCCACGGGTGAAGCTCCACAGAGGGGCAGAGGCAGATCGATCATCGAGAGCTTGGGCATTGGCCTGATAGAGGCATATTCGAAATGGCCGATATCCTCTATATGCAATCATGCTTACTTGAGTACATGCTCACACCCACTCACCACCAGGCGGCGGCATACCTTCCTCTTCACAGCAGTCATTTCTCATAGTCTTCCAGTCATTCTCATAGTCTTCCAGTCATTCTCATAGTCTTCCAGTCATTCTCATAGTCTTCCAGTCATTCTCATAGTCTTCCAGTCATTCTCATAGTCTTCCAGTCATTCTCATAGTCTTCCAGTCATTCTCATATACAAACACCTTAGCCCTGGATCTCGCTCCAGATCCAATCACTCAACGTCTCGTTTTTTCCAATCCAGCTCTCCAAACACGCCTCCTTCTCCAAGATGAGGTCCGCCACGAGCCGTCCAAACACGACGCTGCCCCAGTCATTGAGATGCGTATTGTCGCCCTCCTTGAGATTCCACTCATCATGCGACCGCTGCTCGCCCACGGCCTCCACAAGCGCCTTGCTGTTCTGATAGAGGTCGATGAACCGCGTCCTCGTCGCCTCGGCCGCAGCAATGGTCCTCACCCTCTCGTTCCGCAGGCTGTCGTCCGTGACGGCGCCCCTGAAATTGCGCCTCGACAGCGGCGTCACGAGAATGGGCGTCGCGCCGAGCGCCCTGATCTCGCCCGCCAGCGCGCCGAGGTTCTCCTGGTACATGTCGAGCGTGATGTTCTTGGCCGGCTTCTGGTCGTTGTGCCCGAACTGGAGCGTGACGTACACGTCAAAGTCGGCCGCGTGCGCGCGCACCGCCGCCGTCACGAGGTCCCAGTGGCCGCCCGAGACAAAGTCGACCGTCGTGCGCCCGTTGCGCCCGTAGTTGGCCCCCGTCGCCGGAGGCACGAGGAAGGAGAGGAAGCCGTTGCCCCAGCCGCCGCCGCCCTCGGACTGCACCGCCGTCGTCGAGTCGCCGGCGAGGAAGAAGGCCGCGGGCTTGGTGGAGCAGACTTTGGGGCACGAGGGCGCCGCCGCCGCGAGAACGGGCAGGATGGCTGTTGCCGCTGAGAGGGAGGCCTTCATGGTGATGGGAGTGCGTCTGGGCGGTTCGGTGAGCAGTGCGAGAAGGACTGCTGTTCTGCTGTTCAACGAGATCACCGCTGCTCGATGACAACAGCGACCGCTGGCTTTAAATACGCCCTCGCCATCTCGGGGTCATGCGCGCGTATCTCGACGAGCGCGCAACCACATCGTGCAGGTAAAACCGTCGATAGAGATCGCCCAAATGCCGTGGACGCTCGCATCGCGGGTGGGATCTATTTCTCCGTCAATGGCGAGTGGCCAATGGCCGCTACTGCAGCGCCCTGAACCCGGTAATGTGGCTGCTTGCCGGAGCTAACAACGCGATTTTGCCTGTTCGAGCGTCCGGCTCGCGATGACTTCCTTCAATCGGACCAGCGGAACATGCCCATTATGATCCACCGCAACGCGGGGTTGGTGTGGGGTGCATGTGGAAAAACAAGCATACGTATTTTGCCGTCTTGCACGGAGCCTTGGGAGAGTTCACAGCAAATTGTGACAGTGCGTTTTGTTTGATTCAAGTTGGTACAATATTCAGACATTTCCTGATTTGCCTTGTTCGCCTGGCCGATACCAAAAGGCTCTGGTTTACATTGGTGTTCGCCCGAAGGGTACATGGTCGCTTTTCAGTCGCCAAATCTTGCATCGCATCATCTGTTGCGGTTGCTCGACCACCGCCTGACCATGACCTCCCGGATCTTGTACAACTTGAGCGCCGCCGCAGGACCTTGCTCGAAGGCCTTGTCGAAAATCGGCGGCGGCGGTACGTCGACGTAGACCAGCACGAGGCTCTTGTGCACATGTGCGAGGACACGCACGACGCCATGCAGCCAGTGCCATGTCTTTTGTGGCACTGGATGCTTGTTTTCCTTCCACCACGCGTGTGAATAAGAAGGCAGGATGATGACGCCAAATTCAGCGTGATCGAAGACAGGGCCTTTGGCATACAGCATCCAGTCCATGCCAAATTTGATGCCCGGCCGTGGTACCCAACCGAGCGACCGGAAATGGTGGTACACGGCGTAATTGAGAAGGAAACTATCGTCGGGTAGCAGTGCTGTCGGCGGCAGAGGCGGGAAGACTGCGTTTTGGCGGAAGAGCGTCAAGAGGGAGGACGTGTCGATTGGCGTCTTCGTTTGGGGATCCAAGACCTTGAGAGTGCCGAGGCCGAAGCTCAGGAAGAGCGCTTCCTCGCCCGTCAGCTGGAGGTGTTCCTTGTTCAGGATCTCCCCTGTCGCCTCCGGCATATCAGGAGCAGCTTTGTGTCGTAGAGAACCATTGGGCCACACCGCGTCACGTTTGGCGCCATGTGATGATCCATTGGTTGTCTTGTCACTTATCGAGGCATGGCTTGGACTGGGAGGATCTGAGTGTTGAACGTGGCCGATTCGACGCGGGGCGAGAACCGCACACTCTTGCGACGTTTGACCGTCTTGACTTCGTCGGGCGCATTGTCATCGGGTGACTTGACGTGGCCGTTGAGGTCCTCTCCTGTGGTAGATATGGACGAGCCGTTCACGGCGTGTCCGTTTGCAGACTGTTGGTCCGGCGGTGTGTCAAATGAGCTTTCACTGTCATCAGGTATCAGGTCTGCAGCTGCAGCAATGGCCTCTGCGGGAAGGATGGGGTGCTCAACAGCAAGAGGAACATCGGCAGACGAGTTGGGCAGCAACAGGAGCTCCAGCGGCCCAGTTGGCGGGGCCTGCACGGCAGCAATCACGGCTGGAACTTCGGGCTGGGGCACGGAGGAAGTGCCCGCAGAGCTGCCATGTGCCATCGCGAGCCGAGCTTCTTCCAGTCGGACTTGGCGGATGGCGTCTTGCTCTGCCCTCGCTCTTTCCCACTTCATCTTGATACGCTCCTCTCTTCTACTCGTGGTCAATTCCTCGCTGACGTGCGTCTGCACGAGGCCGCGGCGGACCTTTTCTCGCTTGAGCCAGTTGGGCTCGCTTCGGCTGAGGTTGCCTTTTCCATAAAAGCCCTGTTCCCACAGAGCTCGGATGGCCTTTTCATCGTAGACATGAACGGAACTCGACTCGGGTGACCAGATGGCTTCCCATATTACTGAGGGCTCAGCTGGGGGCGGGGAAAGCACCTGGCTCGCCCATGCCCAGGCCAACTGGAGGAGAGATACAGGGTTGTTCGGGTAGAACGAGGGCAGTGGAAAGGTCCTGATCGGAGCCGGCAGGGCGTAGATCTGATGCAACGGGGTCGTCTTGGGCCGCTGGGGCCGCGTTTCTGCTTGCGCAGGCGACGCTGTGGAGGACTTGACGCCATTGGCGGCTGGCTGAGGCTGAGGTGCCGGGGACTGAGCTTCAGCCATGGCTATCTCGCTTCATCTCTGTTCTTTGTGATCGTTAGCTTGCGGTACTTGACGCGTCTCCCCTCAATGCCTGAGGGGGGATTAAAAGCATGAACAAGCAGATCGTATGCATCAGATACCGTTGTAGTCTATATTGTTTTGCCTCAGCGAGGCCAATGAAGGACACTCTAAGCACAATGTAAAAAAAGGTGTCATCATCGCAAGATCTGGCCGAGGCCCACGACTTCGTGCGCCAGACCGTGTAGCCGCCATGCTCCAAAAAGCTGAAAACAAACTTCATGACTTACTCAATTGAGGGAAGCTGGCCCCATGGGTGTTACGGGCAATGAGTTAGTGCAGACATTCGAGGACCGAGCCCGATATCTGATGCCTAAGTACGGGTTGATGGGAGAAGGAGGAGGCAGGAAGGAAATAGCGAGGTCTTCGCAGATTTTGGCGTCGGGTTTTCTAGGTCCCCACAGCGAGGCTGGCAAATCACAAGTGCCCTAATGGGCTCGAGCTCCCAGCGGGGTCGATCCAGGGCGGAAAAACACGGCTCGCCGATCTCTGCTGTCGCAGCACCAACTGTGGTAAGCATTTACCCTGGACCTGGACAGAGATACAGGGCGGCGGTCTGTCATCTCGCCAAGCGGGGCACCCATTTCGCAGGTCCTCACACGAACACCATTGCCGGCCATTTCGCGTGAGAGTTTCGCATCGTGTCTGATGCTACTTACTCCTTTGTTGCTCGCCATGTGCAACCGTTGCGTTGCCCCTCCCAAGAGTCGGTGACGTGGCAAATATTGACGACTAATGACTTGAACGACTGCATGAATGGCGTTTCCCTGAATTCCATCTCCATCGCCTTTTCCCCCCAAATCTTATCCAGCGCAACACCATGCTCGACCTTTCACTTCTCGTTCAGGGAGCTGCGTACTTGGCGGGAATATGGAGCGCCTTCATCTTTCTGGTCCAGTGCATTGGTAATTCGCGGATGTACGTGAGAGTTCAGTTCGCCCAGCATTTCCTGTCCCCCTCCATTGACACGAGAATAGCTTCACAAAGTACGGCTCCCGACCTCGTCCAGCTGTTTCCTCGAACCTACCCTCCGCAGAGGTGCCACACATCACCATCATCCGTCCTGTCAAGGGCCTCGAAACCGAGCTCTACCAGTGCATCGCCTCCACATTTCAACTCGACTACCCGCGCGACAAGCTGACCATTCACCTGTGCGTCGCCGACAAGTCCGACCCAGCCTACGCTGTCCTCGTCCAGCTTGTACGAGACTTCCCTGGCTTCGACGCCCGAGTTCTTGTCGAGAAGGAAGACCCTCTGCTCCATGGCTCTGACGGCCACGTCAATAACCTGGGTCCAAACCCCAAGATCCGGAACATTAGCCGGGGCTATCGCGAGGCGAAGGGGGACCTCGTCTGGATAATCGACTGCAACATCTGGATTGGGCGGGGTGTGGCAGGGCGCATGGCGGACAAGCTGCTGGGCCTGCAACATGACGGGAGTCGCGCAACGCCCTACAAGTTTGTCCACCTGCTGCCCTTGGTTGTAGATATCATGGGGCTCTGGGACCACACTTCCGAGTCGCAAGCCCTCCTATCCGCTTCCTCCGAAACTGGTACTTCCTCTGATCCGACAAGAGTCAAGCCCGACCAGTCTCTCCTCACGCAAATCCAACAGTACGGCGGCGGCCGCTTGGATGAAATGTTCATGGCGACCACCCACGCCAAGTTCTACAGTGCCATCAACACGGTCGGCGTCGCACCCTGCGTCGTCGGCAAGTCCAACATGTTCCGCAAGTCCCACCTCGACATGCTGACGGACCCCACGCGGAATCCCGACCTGCCCACCGACAAGGGCCACCCAACCGGCATCGACTACTTCTCGGATTACATCTGTGAGGACCACCTCATCGGCGATCTTCTCTGGCGATCAAAGCTGCCCGGACTTCGCAACCATGGTCTTGTCTTTGGAGACATTGCGATTCAGCCCATGGCCGGCATGTCGGTCCAGGCCTACATTGCGCGCCGAGTCAGATGGCTTCGTGCGAGGAAATGGACCGTCATCGCCGCCACCATCGTTGAGCCTGGTGTCGAGTCACTTTTGTGCTGCTCCTACTCTTCTTTCGCTATCACCACCATTCCCTGGTTCAACCAGACGTTCGGCATCCCTCAGACGTGGAGTGCCATGGGAGTCGCGTGGCTCGCATCGGTTACGCTCTGGATGATCGGGGACTGGCTCGCCTACAACAAGCTGCATGCTGGAAAGACGGTCGAGGTTGACGAGAACACGCCCAGGTTTGCCAGGGGCACCGGCAGTCCCGGCGGCGCACCGCGCCGACCGTTCCACGAGTGGCTGCCCACGTGGATAGGGCGCGAGCTTCTCGCCTTGCCAATCTGGACCTGGGCCGTGCTGCTTGGGACGAAGGTGGTGTGGAGGGGTCGGACTTTTAATGTGCGCATGGATATGAGCGTAGTAGAGGTCGGAGACGAATCTACCAGCGCACATGGTTCGTCTACCAGCGTAAATGCGCAGACTGACAATGCTCGTTCTCGAAGCAAGAATAGACTAGATTAGATATTTTAGACTACACCACTGTCAAGAAGCTCAATGACATTCCATCTCTTGTCCACATATTGTGGGCTTTGGCTTCAATCGTGTGCGCCTTGGTGCTGACACTGCGTCGTCACATATTATTCGGGGGCCGCATCAAGAAGGCCTCACGAATACTCCAACTCGCTGCGTGCCGTAGCTGACATGTACCATACCTAATACATTGTTTGTACATTTCTATTGTAATCTACAATGAACATAAACATCTCCGATCCTATTCCATCACTATAGCGGGACGTAGGTACCGTTGCGGCAGTCAATGCCCAGATTGGGGTTCAGGGCCGCAGTGGCCTTCATGCAGATGACACTGGGCGCCGTCATATCCTGTGGGTAGATGCGCATATTGTCAAACTCGAAGCCCTGGCATGAATCATCCTCGTTGCACTCGACAATGATTGCCTCGTTGTGCTTGAGATTCGGGAGGCCAATGTTGTACCAGCAAGGCTTCAGAGATTGTCAGTGACACGAGCCATGCAAAGTCCATGGGGGGGAGGGGGCACATACGTTAGAGGCGCAGGAGCCGTCGCCCGGGTTGTAGCTGTTGATCGAGCCGGCCCAGTTGTCCCACTTGAAGTTGCGCATCTGCACGGACGAGTTGTTCGGGCGGTTCGCGGACGCCTTGCCCTGGTCGCTGTAGGTCTGGGTGATGAAGATGGGGAACGTGACGTTGTGGAGGCGGATGTTCGACCACGAGACGTCCTTCACGAGGCCCTGGTGGGTTTGGTCAGTATTGCGCTGGTCGCGCGCAAGGCGGTCTTTCTGCTTCACGTACCTGGCCGCCGACCCACGACTTGAAGCGCGCGGCGTACAGACCTCCGGCGACGGTGATGTCGTCGAATCGAATGTTGGACACGGTGTAGAACTTCTTGGCGTCGGAACCAAGGGAGCCGATGCTCATGCCGTGAGTCTGGTATCCGATGATGCTGCGCTCGACAACGACGTTCTTCGCGCCGTCGCTGATGGCGAAGGCGTCGTCGCCGTTGTAGATGACGCAGTCCGTGACGTGAACATCAGTGGCGCCGATGCCCACGCCGTCCGTGTTGAAGGGGAAACTCCAGTCCTCAGAGACAGAATCCACGACGGCATTCGCGATCTTAATGTTAGATCCCTTGACGGCAAGATTCCAGGCGACGGGCTTGGACGACTTGAAGTAGTTCATGACACCGTTGGTGGCTTTGAAAGCCATGAGATGCGGACGGTTGGGGAGACCGGTGCCGCCGGCCTTGGCGTTGGCAGACCACCATGCCTGACCGTAGCTGTAGATCCAGCCATGTGAGATCTGGCGGTGTCGTCAGTTGGTATGTATCACTAGCGTTCGATTTCAATTCGACGCACATCTGAGTTGCCAATGTACTGTATGTCGGTACCCGCAAAGTCGAACCAGTGGCCGTTGCCTCCTGCGACGATCTTCTGCACAGCGGAGATATCCTGGGGCAGATGCAGATTGCCTTGGACCGAAAGGATCACGTTCGTGAGGTTCAAGGCCGCAATGGGCTCGAAGACGTTATAGTTGGATCCCTCCTCGAACAAAATCAACGAGTCCCTGTTGCAACGATCGAGAACCTCTTGGATGGCTGCCGAGTCCGATGAAGTGCCCCCAGAAGCGGGGACCACGCATTGCTTGCGGCACGCTGCTGAGACGGTGCCCACAAGGAGGACGAGACTGAGTGATCGGAGAGAAATCATGGTGACGAACGAAGGAGATCGAGGCGAGAATCTATTGAGTCTTCTGGCTACTAACCTGCTCCGAGCCACCCCAATGAGCTTCTTAAGTATGTTTAACCATCTTGCCTTACCCCCAATTCTAAACCCTTGCCTCACTCCAGACGACCCATCCCGGAGGCTAATTACACCACGGGGCCGGTCTGTCAAGGGGTAATCATCTTTCGAAAGGATACCTGTATGGACGGAAAAAGATGCGCCACAGCCTTCACTCGACTAGCGACCGGACCACATCTTCAGGATATCCACTCCAAATATTACGGTCAGTCAAGATACAGGCCAGGATGGAAGAGGCTGCTGAACCGCGTGGTCATCTCCAGGGTTCGGTTAGTGTGCCGCCTTGGCGCGGCAGCTTTGGGCCGAACGTGGGCCGCGCCAGGGTCGTTCCCGGGGGATAGCGTTGCTGCCAACCTCTCAGATCGCGGGGTGCCAAGTAATTTCGGATTGTGCTCGATTACACCCATACACCCCTGCTATGTACCTGACTTGGATAGTAGCCTACGCAAGCCCGTACGGCCGCTGGGTTTCAGGGAGATTTTGAAGTGTGATCGTAATCTTTTTACCTTCTTGCAACGGGCCGCTAATGCAAAAGTCTGTTTAAACACTTTGTTTACCTTTATCCAAGGTACAGCGCTCCGCAGGTGAACGGATTGAGACCAACTTGCGTAAGGTTTCTGGCAGTGTTGATCCCCGTACGATACAGAGCGCGACTCGGCATGCGCTGTAGAAACAAGTTAAATTGCTCAATTCCTAGATTGCTTGCCATTTCTCCCATCAAACTTTGGATAAGACATTTGGCCAGACGAGTTAGTCACATTCACCTGCTTTGTGTGGGCAGCTGGTTGGCCTGCTCAATTTCAAGAAGCTGTAGTGACGATCAACCATATTTTTTTTTTAGCATGCCCAGCCTTGCCCCTCCGCGACGCTTGTTTAACAATGCCATGTTTGGATCTTACAATGAAGTGTAACTTGATTACATGGTGTAACATGGGAATATGTACCAACCAACGTTGACAGAGTCCGACGGCGACCTCTTCCGTACATGCCGAGCTGCTACATCAGCTGGCTGGTTGTGCGAACCCCAAAAGTATTGTTCAGTATAGGTTAACAACAAAGGGCTGCTTTTGGAGGGGTGAAGATCTTCGTAGGAATCTCGGCAAGGGTCCTGCATATCACATATTACGCACTAACCAAGAGGTTGAAGAAGTACAACTCACATTACAGCAGAGAACGCCTAGAACTTTTTAAAGGGCTAAATCCAAGGGATATACATCCCAGTCTACATCAGTTTCATACCCTTACTGTTTCAGGTGTCCCAAATCTTTGAGTTCGAATTTAGGTCATCCTATCTTCGCACTGCTCGTTCATTGAGCCCAAACTCAGAGGCGCGGCGCAATTTCCGAGTTCTCTCCCAGAGAAGCCCGCAAGGCTTTCATGCGAGCCGCCGTAACCATCATTGATTCGGGATATTCATCACCAAGTGTCTCGTCCAGAAGCATTTGCGCGACCATCTCTCCCGCCCTCCACGCCTTGACCATGCCCACGCCGTGGAAGCCACCACAGACCCACTGACGATGGCGGGAGGGGAACACTGTTGCTAGTGGTCCGACAAATGGTAGAGTATCTTGTGTGAAGCCGAGGATTCCAGACCAAGAACCAGTGATGTACGCCGATGAGCCGTCCACAGCTGAAGAGAACACTTGATGTCCGAAGCCGCGCAGGTGCGCCATGGGGAGTAGATCAGTCTGGCTGTCGTCCCCGGTGGCCCTTCGGCCCATGTTGGCACGTCCGACTACAATGCCCCCATCTTGACGCTGGATAATGTAGTCGTAGTCTTTGTCTGCGTAGCGTAGCCAGAAGGAATACTTGCTGTCGAGGCCCAGAGCAGATTTCGCGTTACCCGAAGCGTCTTCTTCCGATGCGACAGAGCCGTAATGCACCACGTTTCCTCGTACAGGGGAAATAAACGGACGCAGTTCAGGCAACAAATGACCAAGCCAGCCGTTTGTAGCATGCACCACGGCTTTTGCACGTATATCGCCTCTGCTTGTACGAACAGTGGCGAATGGACTTCCGGGCCGGTCGTCGATCGAAAGAACGGATGTGCCTGTTTGTATGTTGACTTTGTCGGATCTGGCCAGAGTTTCCAAGAGGTTGGTGACCATTTTATACGGCCACACCGAAGCTGCGGGAGTGGTGATGGCACCAATACAACGAGTGGAAAGCTTCATGGCCCCTTGCAGCACTGTGGTGTCTGTGCATACCGTGTACTTGTCCGCAAGCTTGGGGGCATGCAATCTCATATCTTTAAGCGCGGATACGGCTTTTGCAAAGACCTTTTCATCGTAGTACGCGTCCACGCCCTGTACGGGCACGAGGTCACACTCGAGTGAATTTGTGTGAATGATATGGGCCATAACTTCGAGATGGCTTTGTTCAAAAGCCGTCATTTTGATCGCTTCTTCCAGTCCAAGCCTTTTCTTGCGATGATTCCAGACGGCATACGTCATGGTCTTGATGTGTCCTCCATTTCGGGCTGTCGCACCGGAGCAAAGACTTCGCGCATCGATAAGAGTGATATCGACATCTGGGCGTCTCGACAGCAAATTGTGAGCAATACTAGCGCCTGATATACCGGAGCCGATTATGACAACATCGACAATTGAGTGAGGCCAAGCAGACCTGTGGACCGCCAAAGGGTGTAGGTCGGAGTGCCAGAAGGGGAGGGTGGAGTTGGTGACGGGCAATCCAGGGTCAACAACCCCTGGTTCGTATACACCTTCGGGTGAGCCGGACATCTTAAGGCAGATGATCACGGCATGGAATGTCTAAATGGCTGGAATGGATGTCAGGAGTGCTGCAACGATGAAGAAAAGAACTACCTTTTATACCCCTCAACATCGCTGTGATGTGTGCCTGACGCGTGATGGCCCGCCACAAGCCCGGGCCGGTACAATACGTTTGGGCTTCCGCTAGATACTGGCATGTGGGCATCACATGGCGAGGCGCTTTGCATTTGATCACGAATCAAAGACGGCCACGAAGAATGGAGAGAGAGGAGGTGTAGAGTTCTTTTTTCTTTTTTTTTTTTTTTTTTGAAGAGAAGACGATGATATTTGCTTGCCTGGCCCAAGTTGAAGCGATGTAGTCAACGCTTTTGTCATCCCTTCGCTATGACATGGTTATGGTCACTCGCCGGCTGGTCACCGGCTACTTGACCACGCTAGGAAAGGCAGGAGGCCCGCCCCCGCAGTTAGGCAAGGTAGTATCTCAACAGAGAATGGCCCAGGTCTTGAGGTCCTTATTCTGGTACCTCGAAATCGTGATTGAAGCTTGACACGTGGAATGAGATGCGGTATATTGGACTACCGGATGTCACCATTGCACGTGTCCCTGTTCCCCCTACAGCTCGATCTCAGTGTTTAATCCGGCGACCGACGGGCATAACGAAAATAACATGTGGTGGAAAGAAGACACCATCGTTGTTTCGATTCCCTGTAAAACCTGCCTCCAGACTATGAAATAACTACCTACCTTGTTTAGTTCAATTTTCCCTCGACTTATCTGTGGCTCATTTGTTAGAAACTGACTAACAAAGTCCGTTTGCATGAGTGAAAGTAGCAACGGGGGATAAAGAAGAAAGAAATACTCATCAAATGAACCGCTACGTATTACGAGCCAAATCCTACTTCGCAATAGGCGCTTTCATCAAAGATGTATCGGATGGCGGCCCACCGAACTTGACCCAGAGATCCTGAGGTCGATACCAGGCTACATGCTCCTCTTGCAGAAGCTGGTTGACAGCTTCATGTTGGTGCTGTCTGGTCAGATTCAGTGCCCTTTCCGCAAGCTGCAATAGTCGAGGTGGATCTGGATCCAGATCATCAAAGACTATGACTCTTTCTCTCCCTTCCTCAACATTGGTATCCAAAGCTAGATCCTTGTCAATTTTTGGAGTTTTGAGCACATTCTGCGCGCTCGATTGGGATTCCTCGAGTCTCTCGTCAGGTGATTGATCAACCAGGATATGATCGAACAACACTTCCGCAATCTTTCCACCCTCGCGTGGGTTATGGCTTCGTAACAGCGTGGCAAGATCAAGAATAACCCACATGAAAGACCTCGTGAAGTTCCGACGTTCGGTTTCATAGAATAACTGTTCCAACTGAAGAATGGCTTGTGATATATAGCCACGATCTGCCAGCAGTAAAGCTTTGAGATGGACGACTTGGCAGTGCCTGTCGAAGTTGTTCTGCAGCGTCCCCTCTTGTTCAAGTTGCTCAACCGCTTTTCGAGCCTCCGAGAGCATGCCGAAGTCCCGGTAAGCCACCAAAAGCGATATGCGGATGTCCAAGGCCCATATGCTGTCGTATGGGACAGCCAAGAGTCGCAAATTGAGAGCCTCTTTCAAATTCTTGAGGCTTTGCTCTCGTTTGCCCTGGATACGCTGTATGTCTCCCATGGGAAACTGTGCCATTGAGGTGAAGAGATCTTTGTCACCATACTGTTTTCTTCGATAATCGAATACGGCAGTCAAAATTTCGAGCGCCGTATCCAGTTGGTTCAGCTGGACAAGAGCAAGCGCGTATAAAATGCGACTGCCCAGGTAGCGAGGATCTTGAGCGCCAAATAGTCTCCGAAAACCTACACAAGCGGTTTCCTGCGTTTTTGCACTTTGATTGAAGCGAACCAACTGTAATTCAGCAGAGCCTCTAGAGTTGAGGGTCCTGAATAGCGTTGGTTCGTCTTCTCCGAGCAATCTCTCTTGGATCTCAGTGAGAGCTCTAAGCTCCGAGTAGGCTTTGTCTGGAGCTTCAAGCTCCAATAGTACAGTCGCGTTGTCGGATCTCACTCGAAGAGTCAGAGGAGCTTCAGAGCCGAGGTCATTCTCCAGCCCTTCGACTGCTTGAGCAAGTAGAGGACTGGCTTTCAGAGTTTGGCCAATGTCTCGTTGAAACCTGATATTTTGCAACAAGGCAAGCCACTGCAAGAGCTTGTCTTGTCCTTGACGCCGCTTGTAAGTCTCGCTGAGCGTTGTGTAAGGATATATCAAATAGTCCTCAACCGAGATTTGATTCCGCTTGGGCGTAGGAAGGGCTCTGTACCATTCCTTCAGCTGTAAGTTCGTGCGTCGAATGTGATTGTAGTCGTTTCTACTCTCCAAAAGTGTGTATTCGGCCCAGTAGGCAAAATTTGACACGTGCAAGAAAAGTTGCGCAAGCTCCAGCAGTCCGTATTCAGGATCGTCGACGGCTGTAAGGTGAAATGCCCAGTTCTTTTGCGCATATTCAAAGGAGACTCCTTTGGAGGGAGGTTGAACGGTCCACTGCGTATTCAGTACCTGTAGTGCCGACCCGCCTGTTGTAGACTTGATGTTGCGGTGCAGCAGTCCTCCAATTTTATCCTCGGACCCATATCCAGCGTCGAGCAGACACAAAAAGCACTGTTCCGCCAGCTTGCTGTGTGATTCAAAAGAGGTGATAGAGACAAGCGCTCGTGTTCCGAGGACGTGCCGGCTGAGAGTCTCACTGCTTTGGAGGCAGTAGTCACGGACCGAGCTGTGCATGAACTTTAGTTTGCCGTCGTCCAACTCGATGAAAGGCTGGCAGCGATAGGTTATGAACTGTTCGATTGAGTCGCTTGCAACCTCCAGTATTCTTGCAACATCCTCAATGTCAAGTGGAACCCGAGCTTCAAGCATAACGACAAAAATACAACGCCGGGAATTTGCGGTCTCGAGAGGAAACTTGTTGTCGGTGACTCGAATCAGTTCGTCGTATACGTCTGACAAGTTGCTTGGAAGTGTGCCGAGGCGTGACTGAAATTCTTCCGGAGAGAGAAGCTCGTCGAGGTACTGCAGCAATGCTTTGGCCCACACGAACATGCCATCTGCCCGCAGACGAACTTTCTGTAAGACACGTTCCCTTTGTTCCGCAGGAATCAAGCTTCCATCAGCGTGAAGTCGCTTTGTCGTGAAGCTCATGATATCCTGGGTGTTTAGGCCGTGATCAATACGTATCTCGAACTGCGGAGCGATAACTTTCTGTATATCGGGCTGCCGGCGTGAGAATATCACAATGCGGCAGTTGTGGTTTATAGAAAAGTCGCGAAGCTCTTCTAGAAACCTTCTTAAGCTTGGTACTCCGTTCGTATTTTGAGCTTCGAAGTGGCATTCATCGAGTCCATCGATTATCCAGGTATATCTGACATGAGTCAAGCGTGAAAATGCCGTCTTGCAAATAGGCCAGATGGCACTCCAAGGACACGTTTTTGACCCGCCTACATGCTCGGTCTGTAGGCTTCGAAGTCTGTCGGCCACATCAACTTCAAGCTTTCTCTCGCTGTTGAGATGGTATGTTAGGAGTCGATGCAGCAACTTGCCGCATAACGCGGATGGATTCGATGCTTCGAGATTGCCGACACCACCAGGAAAGCGTGCGTGAATTACAAGTGGGTCTTTTGAGGGCGATTGGGGCTGCAGAAGACGATGCAGCCGTTGATATACTGAAATCGATAGCATGGACTTTCCACTTCCTGAGCCAGGCCACCTGTTAGGCTTTCCGACAAGCACGAGGATGTCTTCACTGACCTGACTTCCCACTCAACCAAAGCAAGCCGTTGTCTTTTGTGTCTTGACTGCAGCTGTTGCACCAGTTATTCCAAGCTGGTTGTTGCAATAACCATTCTCCGGTTCCCTTGATAGGCCTATGGCTATCTTGGAAAGAAAAGCTTGCTGCGTCTTTCTCGAGCCATGACCGTATGTCTTTGAGATTCGCGGTATCTAAGGCGAGGGAAAGTTATCAAAATCGGCCCGCACGAAATATGGAAGCCCGGCACTGCATCAAATAAGCTGCCCACATTGAAGCACGGGCTAGGCTGAAGAGAGAACCAATGGCGTGGCCTGAGCATCACCCTGAATGCATACCTTTTGACGAGGCGCGCCAGTCGCGAAGCCAAGTGTCGTACATCTTCAAAGTTTGCTCCACAGATGATTGATGGACTGCCGCAATCCCAGTCAGCAGATGGTTCTAAAACCTGCAGTTGAAGAAGAGGGGACCCAAAGCCAACCACGGGCTTTGCTCCCTACAAAGCACAAGCCTACCGTGTAATAAAGAGACCACTCTGTGTTCTGTGAGCGAGAGCCCGACATCAATAGACTCCAGTCGGGTAGTGGTGTCGAGTTGAAATTTGATTCCTAGAGATACTCATTATTATGCGCTCAAGATACCAGGACAACATTGGTTGCTCGAGCAACGCCCGTAGGGCATGGTGATGATACATCACGAAATGAAGACAGTAGGCCAAGGGACCCTTCGCGCATGTTGGCAGCTTGAGATCTGCAGGTTTCGAGACAAACAGGAGGCTGATGAGCCGAGACTGTTTCTAATGTCCGAACACAAGAAAATTCATACTGCCACCTGACAGCGACATAGATGACAAATTCGCTGACGTCCTTTGCCAGATGCCACAATCTATGACATGGCCTACATGCGATGCTGCCGACTACTTCAAGTGCCGGTTTCGAATAACACCGACTCAAGAAGAAAACCCACGACAAGTATATAAGAAGCCATGGCTTGACGTACGTTTGTCATGGAGCGCTGTGCTCAGTGTCGACATGGCATCCTGAAGTGCGGTTTTCTTTCTCGTGAATTTATCCAGTGGTACGGTGCCAGGTCGAAGAGACGAGAAGAAGCGCCCTGGAACCATAAGATTAGTCGCTATATTCCCAACAAAAGTAAGGAGAGTAGTGGGTAGGGTTTAAGGATTCCGGGGCGGAATGATGATCCGTCCAGACATGGCGAAAGGATGCCGGGGGGGCATACCGGCAGACTGCAATGACAGATGCTCCTTCGCCAGAAAAGCAAGGTCGATCGCGGATGCAAGAATACCCACAACAATGTCGCAGATTCTGTCGTCGCCGGAGGAGTGAGCCGCGGTTTCAATCCAAGAGATAAGATGGCCCTCGATCAGAACGATCCCATCAACGGCTTCTTGCGAAGCTCTTTGGGCTTCGTCAAAGGCCTGGAGAGAAGTGTAAGCTGCGAGTTGAGCTGATGAAAGGGAGAGAAAAGGATCAGCTGCGGGGTTGGGCTCCCAAGGCTCTCAACGTTTGGTTGCTGCTGTACAACCCTAACCCATCGCGAGCTGCCTTGCACGAGGCCTTGCAACTAACCTGCAAAGCAACTCTGGCCGGGGCCCAGACGAATGTGATGACCTTGATCTGGGAGAAAAGATCGACGGTTCGATGATGACGGTACATAAATTGACATAAGCAGCCGCATCGCCAGAGGAAGGTCTTCTTCGTATGGTGGGCTAATGACAAGTATTGATCCCGGGCGAGGATGGCACCTTCGATAATACTTCGTCCTACAGAGCCACCATCAGCGTCTGTCAAATGGTGGATGTAGCGCTTGTGTCGAGCCCCGCCTCTCAGAAGGGTACTGTTGTACTTCTGTAGAATCGAGCATGAGTGATCAAGTAAAGACGTGGGTCTGGACAAGTCGAAAATGAAATGCTGTGCTCACATCTACAGCGCGGTACCAAAGGTCCTTCTGGCGGCGGTCATCTGCCAGGGTACTTGTAGGCGACCCATCCTTTCCCCCCAAGAGCGGCGTGAAACCTGCCATCGTGATACAAAAAGTCCAGGTCACAGCGCCATGACCTTGTCATTTGATGAACGTGGAATCACCGAGCTGTTGCGATTCTCGACAATTTATTCTTCGAGACGCATGTCGCCTACCACCTCTTTCGTTCTCCACTGCTCCTTCTTCTTTCTTCATCGCCGTGGACCATGTGCGCGCTTTGGGCATCATTCCAGTCGAGGCTGAGGATATTGGTGTCTGTAGAGGGACCCAAAGCCGACACCCACCAGCGCGTTGAAGGGTGTGAGATGTTTGGCCGGCCAGCGTCCATAATTTAGCCACATGTAAGGCTTCATCATTTTCACATACTTCAGCGGCGGAGGGTGCCCTGAGGTGCATGTTAGTTCGCTCGTTACGCAGCCTTACTTGCCTTGATGTGCATGAGATCTGTTGGCGAGTCGCCAAGGCTTCCATCCAACATGTGCCGTTGTTTCTGGGGGAGGGGGAGGGGGTGTTACAGGTACTATCATGGCGTGCTTGTTTTGTGTACCCTAGGTAGGCTGCTCAGCCCCCAAGGCAACGAGTGCTAGCCACCTGCAGTGCTAGGTACTCACTGTAGTACTTTATCGTAGCCTGTTTATTGCCAAGCAACTGTTGGGATTGGGGGTCTATGCATCTCCCCGCACTTGCCTCGGTCGCCGTCGCCAAAAAGATTTTGCCTGTCTGTTCACATCAATCTGCTCAACCCGGGCAGTCTGAATGTGGATCTGTTAAGAAAGCTCACAAAAATTTCAGAGGAGAAGCTTGATTTGGAATGGCGACACTATAGAAGCCAATTTCCTAACATGGTTTCCTAGACCTTGCGACATGTGTTTCTTTGAAGCCTGTTTATCTTGTCCTCTGTGGCTCCAGAAGTCGGACCCTTATCAGATCCAACCCTGCCGTCTGGATAAATACGTCTTTTTGAGCGCGGTGAAGGAAGATTGCCCACTGATAGTACGACAATTGAGTTTGTGACCTCGCGAATAAGTGATGAGGCGCCTTTGGTTCTATGTCTTTCGCACAATAATGCCTTGTTGATGCCGAGCCATGGGCAATATCCAAATGGGAAGCGACACCAACGTACTAGCTCCCAACGAACTTTGTTTGAGCTGCAATCGCGCTTTTGGTTTACTTTCACTGGGTCTTCGGAAGCACAATGTAGCACCTTTATTAATGTTGACACCCTGAACCAGAACTGCCATGGCCTTTATGTCGCTTTGAGGTACCACTGCTCCCACCAGACTTCCTTCGGTGGGACTCGTTGTAGTACTTCGAGCTATGTTCTTTGTGGGAACGCTTCGGGTCATGACTTCGCCCTTTCCCCGCCAGGTGTCTCTTCGACTGACTGGGTTCGCCCGCCTCGATTCCCGATTCAGGCTGTCCGTCGTCTCCAAGATGCAACTGCTCTGATTGATAAATAAGTCCTTCTACTTCATCCTCATTTTCGACCTTGTCTGATATCATGGATATTTTGTAGTGAACGTCATGTTGTTCTTGGTCGTGAGTGATCAGGGACTCCAATATGTGTCGGTCTCGTGATGATTCCCACTGATCGTGACTGGGTGGGCACGTTCTTTCCAAGTACATAGTGCCATCAATCTCGTAAATAAGGCCCTCGAACTTCTGGCCTTTGAGATCGAAGACGTCGATTTGGTTGCACGTTATCCAAAGCCCGTGTTTCCGACAGAAATAGCCTCCTTTGTCGTTTTTGCACCTCAGCTTTTGCCACGTTTGGTATTCTGCTTCCCATCGGTGATGATCTCTCTCATCCTCGAGAGGCGGCTCTGGTCGAGGGAGATATCGAAGCTCGGGAAAGGCTTCCCATATCTGTTCGGGTCGCATGAGACCCTCACATGACAACCCGCCCACCTAACACCGTGCCGGGCACGTATCAGCAGATTTTCCACTCTGATATGGATCTAGTGGACTCCAGGCTATATACCGCAGGGTGAAATCACCTACCATGTCCACCGATCTCAGATACCGGCGTTCTAAGTACCGCAGCAATTACCCTGAGGTCGAACACGCCCCCGATCAGAGGGCTTTCCCAAGTTCTAGACGATGCGGTCGAAATAATGTCAGCTCTCGAGCGCAGAGGCAGCGATATTGAGAGTCTTCCGAGGCGTTTCGATTGCGACAGCGCTTGCGGGTTTTTGAAGGATGGGCGATGCACGATGCCCAATCCAGTATCAGGAAAACGTAAGATTACGAGAAGAAGGAGTCAACCGGAAGGCCGGTAATACAATTGAACCTTGTTGTGATTTCGTACGTTACAGCTCTGTTGTTTGCGCATTAATTTGGAACAGTCTAAAGTGACGCTGGAGAAAAGGAGCGTCAAGCCATGGGGAAGCCGCGGGGGACAATTTCGTCCTGTACCGTTGGCCTGCCGCCATTGGGCGTACTGGTGAGCAAGGACTTCGGCTTGGGCACCAAGGATAGAACTTGTAGTTGAGAGGGTGGGCAAGTGGTTGGCGGACCGTGTGCGTTGGCAGAAATACTTGTAGACCTACAAATGGGGCTGGATGAGGGTAGCCTCGGCTTCTTGAGGCAATCCTTGGCGGGATGGGCTTCTTGCAGATGATCTAAGATGTTTACGTAGGTACCTTAGTTATCTTCTCCCGGGTCGTTTTAAGTACCTAGCTGAGCATGCTTGTTGAAACCCGTTGTTTGGCCCTCACAATCCTGACAAAGATGCACGACCGCCGTTGATCGAGCTACTATCTCATCTGCTCCGAATCTCTTGCAGTGCAGCACTGCATTTGGCTAGCCCCATTTGTAGCTTGGCGATGGAGGCAATTATTATTCGAGGCAAAGCAGGCTGTGGTCATTTTGGTACCACACCTCTACACAATCAGCTGCGCTACTCCTGCACGTGATACGCATGGCTAATATACTCTAGAGTGATCATATGATATGTGCCATGGCGCCATTTCCTGATCTCTGGGCCGCGGGCAGGATGCGGGATGTTGGTTTTTTGGGTGCGATGTTTTGGATCTCTTGTGACGGAAGAAACACTGCATCATTGTTGCGAGAATGGCAAAAGCAATCATTGATCAGTCAAAGCTTGGCTCGTATTTGAGCGAAAGCAAGGTAGTCTTGTACGACGCGGTCTTTCACCTTAGGCAGCAGCAAAGGAAGCTGTGCCGCTTTGCTACAGACCGGGCCAGACGTTGGTGTGCGATTTCTTGCACAGGGCGAAACCGCCAAGGCTGGCTGACCGGCCTGACGTGCAGCCCATTCTTGTGTTTGGAAGAAGCATCCACGGTCAATCATCAGTCACAGCCTCAGCATCGACTCTTCTGTGTATCACGCCACCAAACCTTTATTGCCAGCTTCCGTCTTTGCTAGCATCCGTGTAGCGCTGCCGTTCACCGAGCAGGCCGCACAGAGCTATGGTTCTAGACACAGCCCAGGATGCGCCACAGAGCCGTGTATCTCGATGGAACGTCCAGAGTGAGCAATTTGGACTTGCAAGAGTCGCAAGTCGGCCTGCGACTCTGTTAGCCCACCTGCTACCAATGTATTGCCTGCTTCACCTCTGCAACAGTGCTGGCTGTGGATAACTCACAACCAGCTTGGCGTGAGATCTTGTGCCACGGGATCGAGACGGAAGAGGGCTGCAAAGATCTCATCTCCCAGGTTTTAAATGCAAATAATTGGTCCGCGAATTTCTTCGGTAAGCCATCACCTGGTTTTGCATCCGTCAGACCAGCCTCATCAAAAGCTGCTTCCACTTCCTAAGCTGACAACTGCATCAGGTTTGACCTCTTTGGTTGCGTTTTTCATGATGACCAGTGCTGTTAAACTCTATGCGTAAGTTATCAAAGACTTTTTGGATGGTGTAAAAACATCCTATCCGGCCTAAGATCGCACACTTTGGTCCATCACTCTGATCGCAGCCAATTCATAGACTCGATACCACCAAATCTGTGACTCTTCTCTCAGCTTTCAGTAACTCTTTACCACCGATTAGTCTCTGTTGTGCGGTATATTACGGCTCCAAAGACAATCTAAAAGCGTGGGTATTTTTGTCAAACGCGTTATTTTTCCTCGGCGGCGGGCCTTTTACCTGCACAGCTTTCAGATATGCTCTGATTTCTGGGCTCGTTGAGAGCACAGTCCCTCCATCAAGGTGAGCGATCTTTGTCACCCCCTATACATGTATCTATAATGTATGACTTTTTGCTGATACTATAGCTCCTTCGAAGCACCCCTCGGATGTACGCGCTAGCATTCCAGTTTGATTCTGGGGTCCAAACGCTGTCCCGCTTTTTGACGTCCTACCTTTCTCTGTACATCGTGCGGTTCTTCGGCATCCGTATACCGCTACTCATCTCTGCCATGATGACGGCTCTGGGATGTGTGGCCTTGTGGCACCTGCCATCGGACAAGTCAACCTGGAGAGAGAACAGCCCGTCCGGAAACCTTCATGACACATTTCAGACTATCAAGACCAGGTTACCGAACCTCAAAGCCGGATTTATTCTGGTTGTCACCTTTTGCCTCTGCCCACTATCAATAGGAGGTGGGAACTTTGCCTTTGGATTCATGTCCTATCGACTCTCATTGCACGACGACCACGACAGACATACCCGAGAAGCCAAGGTCGTTGGCTCCTTGGGGACGACAATCGTATCTCTAACGTCGATTGCCTGGTTCATGTACCAGGGTAAACAGGGTGCCAACAGTCTACTTTATAACCTAGGCCTGACAATCATGAATGTCTGCCTCGGCATCGCGGGCGCCGCACTATTCATCGGCACATCGTCATTCAGATCATTGACAGCCGGATACGCTCTCATAGAGATCGGCCGACAGTCCTTGACGCTCATGAAGTCCGTTTTGGCCGCCTGGCTGGTACCCGTCGACCAGGAGGAAGATGAGGGGCCACAAGGAGGTGATACCAGGCCACTTCTCGAACCAAGAGATTATTTTCCAAATTACGGAGCAAACGGCAATACGGCAAGGCCTCAAATCGCTGTGGAACAAGATTCGGAGCCATCGTCTTCTCCAAGTCTTCATTCTAACATCGCAAGCCACGAGGCAGAGGAAGAGCAAATTGTTATTCCCCAGCGCAATACGGTGCGCGAACAGAAGCGACTTGTCGGCTTCGGCATCGACGTGCTCCTCGAAGCCGTGCCCAAGCTTGGAATAGGGCCCGCGATGCATAGTCTGCTACAGCTGCAGAAACAGGGCTCATGGTGCTGGCCGTATGTGTTCGTGGCTGCCTCCAGTACACTCGCACTTGTCTTTTTGCTAGCAGCTACATGGTTCTCGTGGTTGGAAGTGGACGCTAGTGACAGTTCACCTGGCAATGACTATAGCGACTCCAGCGAAGCCACAGACCTACAGGAGGGAGAAATCTAGACCACAGATAATTCCGCAATGTCAAAGTGTTACGTGTTATACCCGTGGCATAGTATAGGCCTGTGGCCTATACCTCTTTGAATACAGCCCAGTTGAATTAACGACGTTGATTCAACACGTATCCTTTTAGCTCAATTGGATAGCTGCTGCATGGCACTTACGACAGTGTGAGGGGCCGACCGTAACACAAGGTTAGAGCAATAGATGAAATCCGGGGTATATTTCAGGAGTTGTGATTATTATGCTAGTATGTTTGCAACACGCCTCGCTGCAGAGCCTGAAAGCAGGTCACTCAATCGCTATTCAAGATGCGCGACAGGAGCAGAAGGTTCAAGGCCCTTTCAAGTCAGGCAGCTCGTACGCTTAAGCACTGCGCACCTCGCGTTCCTCGCGTTCGACCTCGGCAACCTTCTCGGAGCGGTCCGCGACCTCCTGGAGCTGGGGCTTCAGGACATCAGCAGCCTCCTGCGAGAACTTGCGAGCGCCGACGCGGTGCTCGAACAGCAGGTCGAGCTCGGAGTAGGTCAGGCCCTTGGCCTCGGGCATGCGGAAGAAGGTCCAGACGAGGAAGAGGGCGGTGATACCGGCCCAGAAGAAGCCGCCCTTGGCTCCCCAGTTCCACGCCTTGCGGCCGACGATCTGGGGCATGAGAGCGTTGGTAATGAAGCCACCAGCGTTGTAAAAGGCGCGAGCAAGGGCGACCGTCTTGATACGCAGGCGGGTCGAGGGGATCTCGGCGACAATGGTGTAGCAGGCAGGGCCGACAGAAAGCTGGAAGGCAAAGACCATGATAATGACGAGAACACCAACAGCCCACGAGGTACCGGAGGTCTCCGCAGGGATGCCAAGGAAGCCCATGATCATGAGGATGGCGAACATGGCCGAAAGACCACCGAGGTACATGGTGCGACGGCCGAACCACGTCATGATGAACCAGGCGAGGATGCAACCGAACAGACCAATGCCGGACTGGCCAAGGCTGAGGGCGTAGCTGTGCTTGGTGTCGAGACCAGCCTGAACCATAAACTGCACACCGTAGCCCATGAATGGAACACCGCAGAAGGATTGGGTCATCCAGGTGATACAGGCGATCTCGGTACGGCGAAGGTTGCTGCCGCGGAAGCAGTCCCAGTAGTGAGCGCCGGTGCTCATCTCCATCTCAAACTGGTTGGTGACGCGCATCATCTCCATGTGAGCATCGAGATCAAACTCAACACCGCTCTCGGGCTTGGTAAGCCTGCGAACAGCCTCCTTGGCCTCCTCCATGCGGTTGTGGCGGACAAGCCACCAAGGGCTCTCAGGAGCGAAGAAGGTACCAACAATGATGGGAATGGGCCAGATCTATTCATTGTTAGGACTGTTGTATCGATGGCTTGGGATCAAGCTTACCCATTGAATGGCGAAGGGGATACGATAGCTCCACTGGTCAGTACGGTCGATGAAGCCGTTCAGGATGCCAACAGCGATGAACTGGCCGATAACCCAGCAGATGTTGATCTATCGCAATCATGTTAGTCAAGGATGTCTGGATATCACTCAAGCACAGACTTACCCAGGACGTCATGTAAGCGCGGAGAGCGGTAGGACAGATATCAGCAGCGTAACTGGGAGCAAGTCAGCAAGGCCTCGTTGTTGCGTTAACCGAGTTTGAAATACTCACGTGACAGCAAGAGTCTGGAAGATACCCCACGGGATACCCTGAATGAGGGCTCCCGCGAGGAACATGGGGAGACCGTTGGAGAAGAAGGGGATGAAGATGGCGCCGATCATAGCTGTCATAGCGATGATCATGGTTTTGCGATATCCGAGCCACTCAGTAATGAAGCCGTTGATGATGAGGCCGATGATGGATCCAACCTGAACACCGTTGCCGATAATTGTCTGCCACTGGGCCGAAATCAGAGGGCCGTTCTCGTCAACCTGGTTGCCGTAGCGTTCCATGAAGGTCGGGTAGGCGTAGAAGCTGCTCATCAGATGGGTATCGTATCCCTGAGTCACAATGTTAGTGCGAGGTTACTTTGTAGAGCTGAGAAGACCGAGACCAACCTCCATGATGATGGACAGCGAGATGACGAAAGAGAACAGGATAGCCTTGGGCCAGAAGCGGAAGGTATCGCGAACGCTCATCTGACGCTCATTGTTGAGGGCCACATCCGTCTCGTTGCGCTGGCCATGGCTAACCGTGGGGACGGCGGCCAGCCCGTCGCTGGGGCCGAGATCCTTCTCCTGGGACATGTTGACGAGACCTTTTGTCAGAGTATCCTGCCAGTAGAAGCTTGTTGATCGATCACCGGTTGGTTGAAGGGCGGCTGACTCAAAAGTATCGTGAGTAGAATGACGTGTGGGCGTGACCTATTATATAGTTTGTTCACGATGGGGAAGCCAAGTTGGATGCCATGGCCCATTACAGCGTCCCAAGTCATCACGGACGAATCAAGAGATTGCAGCACTAGCAGATCGAACAAGTCAATCGACTGACAAGGGATGGGAGGGTCCTGTCGTCAAACCGAGGAACTGGAGTGCGGAGATGTGACCTGAATCGGGCAACCAGTTGGGCCTCAGACCTGGAGTGGCCTCCTCGACTCAGGGTCTGGACACCCATTTTCTGTCGAGTAGCTCCTTGGCTCTGTTCCCATACCTGCCTTGGGGAACCCATGGGGATGAAGGATGCGGTGCATCAGATGGCGGGCATGCGGGCGATGTGGAGGAGAACCCGTTCACCACGTGCAACTACCGATGTTCCTCAATTCCGCAGTGAAGCCCGGGGCCGAGTGCTGGTTGGAGAGTTTTCTCCGTAAAATTTTCCGTGTCGCACGATGAACGACAGACTGTGCAGATGAAGTGAAAGCCGGCTTGAGCCGCGGCCAATATGCAGTGCGAGTCAAATCGAGTCCCAAAGGAGGATAATCCATGAGGTGGGACCACGACCAGCGCAAAACTTCTCCGCTGGTTTCCCGCCCCTAACCGCTGAGGGGTTCCTCTCGAGTCTTCTTCAGGCGGGGAGACAAGGATCCTATTCGTCTGGGGATGTCAACTCAATCGGAAAAGTGATGGGGTCAGTCGGGGTTCAGCCCCCCGGTTCATACCACGACCACCCAGAGCCTGGCACCGCGTGCGTCTGGTTTGCGGGACACCTCGTCCCTTGACGACCAGTTTTCCGTCCAGCATCATCATTGTGTGTCTGTGCCTGACCAACGCGCCCGCTGGGCTGTATCACTTCACCATCGAATCCTGCTTCCGTCCCCTGGTGCTAACCGCCTATCACCGACGATTTGGGACACCGTCCCGTCCCTGGGCGCGGAATGCGGAAGCCCTCGGCCTGTGCCGCGTGCCGGTAAGACACTCGCCCGAACTCGCACCATGGGCTTGATGCCCGGCTGCTTTTGCCTCGCCATCTCATCACCCGAGCAAGGCCTGGAGGCATTCGAGTCCACCCTCCACATGTCGATCACCTGGACTAACATGTTCTGGTCCACAGGAGTCGTCGGCGCAAATGTCAGACGAAGGATGGCCGGCGCGCATGTGTGCACTGCGAGGAAAGAGGCATACCATGCGTCCAAGGCCCCCCAGAAGGCGGCTACTATGACCAGCGTGCTCAGCAACGCAGCCAAGTAGCATCGCAAGCGCTGACCCCGGAAGGCGGATCGACGAGTGCATCGTCCCACCACCATGGCGATGGGTTCAGCCCCGAAGTCGTCGAGCCAGAGCCGCAGGCCACCTTGCCAGGCCTTGCCATGCGTCTGGACCTCGTGCGGCTCTACTTCGATTACATCCATGATCAGTTCCACTCGCTCTTTCATCGACCAAGCTTCATCGAGGATGCTCTGCAGGACCGCGTGCCCCATAGCATCCTGTTTGGCATGTTCGCCCTGTCTGCAAGGTACGTTGGCGAAGCCACATGCTGCCCCTGAGTGTATCGGCCGAGTCGAACCCCAGGGGGAGGCATCGCGTCAAGAGTCATGCTTCCTGCATGCACTCTTGCAGAGCCGGAGACAGGGCTGACGGGTACGACGTTTAGGTTCTCGACCGATCCGTACTTTGCGGATGTCGATCCCCGCGACAGGGCCACAGGCTACCTTCGCGCCGCGGAGAAGCTGCTCGACCTTCGCGACATCTCTTTAACGACTATCCAGCTCTGCGTTCTCATCGGGTCCGGCGAGACTGCGGCGGGGCAGGCCGAGGTTGAGAACATCTACTACGGTGTGGCCTGCCGCATGGCCCAGCTGCTCGACCTCCCGAACAGGCCAGCCTCGAATCTGCTGGAGAGCGAGATTAACCTCAGGGGTGAGGCTTGTCGATGTTGTAGATGTGTTTGGACCGCTGTACTGACAAGGTGTAGTCTGGTGGTCACTGTCGATGATTGATGTGTGGTCCTCCACGGCTGTGAAGCTTCCCAAGCTCTTGCCAAATAGGACAGACATCTCCCTGCCCATGGACGACCTATCATATCTCGCTCTATCACCAGAAGGACTTGCGAGTGCCAGGGCGAGTGCCTTTAGCCACGGCTCTCAACTTCTGGCGCAGATGATCAAGGTCAATAGGATCCTGCTGGAAATCAACAACTTCAACCAGCGATGCGTCACCGAGAACCCGACTTGGGAGACTTTAAGCCAAGGTGTCGACGTACTGACGGCGCGGCTGGACGACTGGGTTGCGAATTTACCGCCGAATATGCACGATACGCCCGAGAACTTTGCTTGGTTCGCGTCGAGGGGCCTCGGACGGATCTTTGCGGCGGTATACCTCGGCTACTACCACTTCGGCCAGCTGCTGTACTACCAGTTCCTGCACGGTGCAGCAATCGACGCGCCACTATCACCAGAAGACTCTAGGGGCACCATGGCGACAGAATCACCGTCGGCGATGCGGCGGCAAGAATATGCACAGAGAACCAAAGAGCATGCGGGCCGGTTATGCGAGATGGTGTATCGGTCACAGGCGACCGCGGGGGCTGACGTCCGCTACACGATGACCTCGCACGTCTTGGTCATTGCATCTACGGTGCAGATCCACACCCTTCTGTTCAGTGGCGATGAAGATGACATCGGCGTCGCTCGATCGAGGCTGGAACGGAACTTTGAGCTCTTGCTGCGACTGCAGTGCTACTGGCCAACGGTCGATCGCGCCATCAGTCGTCTGCGGGCCTTCCATGCGACGGCTCGTACAAGTGTAGATTCGAGCTTCGTCTTGGATCGGTGGATGCTACGCTTCATGGTTGAGTTTGCCGAGAGCATGGAGGAGAAGGAGGCAGAAGCATGGCGCGGTGGCAGCGAAGAGATGGAGGCGCTCTGGAACCGGCAATAACGGTGGGATCATGATGATGAACGAGGTCTGGAATAATGATGGTATGGGAAGCGCGTTGTGTCACCACGGAATTGAACAAAGTGGATTGATTGTTGTTAAGGTACAAAAGGAGACTTCCAGAAGTCCAAACGAAGGTAATTGGTCAGATCCAGCATCGGTAAGGAGTCTTACCGGGGCGATAACGACAGAACAAATGCATCAAATGAGGACTCCACATTTGGGATGAAAGTACTCCTGGGTCACAGAACAGAACCTTGCCTGATCGGCAACACACCCCCTCAGATGGGTAGGCGAGCCTCTCTCTGACCATCTGAACCACGAAAGATCAGGCAGATGCCTGTTGGCGGCTTTTGGTAGAGAATTTGGTGCCTTTGGAACAGTTGGCGTTCTCAGGGCAGATGAAGGAAATCGTGCTTGTGAAGCAAATAAGGATGTGTGTAAGTGTTAGGAGAGGTGGGCGAAATTGAGCAAGCTGTTCACTGGTGGACCGCTGGTACGCACTCCATCTGCAGAAGCTTCACGAAGTTCTGATGCTTCTGAGTCGGGAGAATCTTTGTAAGCCCATCGCTCACTATCTTGTCAGTGCTCATCCAGTCCACGGATATCTTCCCCTGTCTGACTGTTTGTCGGATCCAAAGACGATGGATGTCAACATGCTTGAGCTTCGTAGTGGCTTGAGGCCTCTCACTAGTGAGTAACAGCAGCGTTTGGCGGTTATCACAGAACATCTGGATCGGAACCTTGCCATGAAAACGTAGCTGAAGCTCCTTGATCAGACGAAGAGTGGCAAGGTAGTTCCTCGCTGCGACACTGAGGGCCACCAGCTCAGCTTCGGTGCTAGAAGTGACCACGGATCGCTGCTTTGTAGCTTTCCAGTCAATTGGACCTCCAAAGAGCATGGTGGTGTATCCTTGTGAGCTAAATCTGGTGATGGGATCATCGCCGAATGATGCGTCGCTCGCACAATACAGCGATGTAGAATGGTCTCCTGATCCTCCGTAGGACAGCGAGAGAGTCCTTGTGCGATAGAGGTAGCGGAGACAGTGGTCTGCTGCAAGGTGATGGAGTTCTGTCGGCCTGAGCAGAGACTCCGCAAGTCTTGAGGCAGCTTTGGCCACATCAGGTCGTGTTGTGGTTGCTGCGTAATTGATGGAACCAATTTTGCGTTGGTATAGTTGAATGGATTCAGCAGAGGCTTCGTAATCCTTTGGAGCAGGTGCTGGGTCTGTTGATAGAGGCGTCAAATGACCTCTGGTGGATGGCTGGAGGTTGAGGTCCTTCATCTTTTCAGTGATGTAGTTCTCCAGAGACAGCCAGAGCTTGCGCTGGCTACGA